GGGATGCTTTGGGCCTAGTTCTCGCTAACTCAGAAACGGGGACTTGAAGGCTTCACTCAAGACTAGCGACCATCCGGCCCAACTAAGCCTTCCAGCAGAAAAGGACCCCCACATAAATTGGCGACTCTGCTGGGGACTAGGCCATTACTCTTGCAGCAGCTCCTCCATGCAAATTTCTTAAGACATGCAGATGTAATAAACCAAAAAGAGCATACTCTTTCATTTTGTTTTGCTCATATGAGTATACATCCAAGCTAAACATATCATTTCTCTTTTTATCTGAGAAATCTGTCCAAGCCAAACAAACATCTTGCGAAAGAGCCCATAAAGTTCAGGTAGATCAAGCATCCATTCCACTTTGATGCTGGAAAACTCCAAAGAAAACTCCACAATCATCCCCAAATCCAAATTACTTGGGGGCTTCGTGCCAAGCAAATATAAAGAAAAATCAAAGAAAAGTTTCCAAGCTCAAGAGAAACGAAAACTTGATTACATGGGGAGGTTAAGCTTAACATCCATTCACCGACAAACTAACTGGGGGCTTCAACCAACATGCAAGCCCCTGACCACCACCGTCAACTGTTGAGGCTAGCTCGTTCACCTCCATCTCCACCATGGTCCCTGAAGCACCATCAACAAGCCTAGAGCATTGCCATAAATCACTTTTGCAGCAGCATTGGAGTGGCAAAATAATGCAAAAGGACATCTTCCTTTTCAAGCAGAACCAAGTAGCCATGATCCTGCGGCAACTTGTCCATCAGATTCAGTTACAAGAGATGCAACATCCCAAGCCAAATGCAAAGAAAAACAAAGAAGGAGAACAAGTGTAGAGAATGGCAAAGCAGCAGTCTGCTTTACCACCGTCACCGCTTAGCGAACCTATCGACTCGTACTTCCGTTGGTCCTAATCACATAACTCCCTTGCATGACCACATGAATGTGCAATAGGACTACAATATCACCAAGCAATGCGCTTCAACACTGCCAGAAAATCACTGCTGTCTGGGATCAGCTCGAACTCCATGGCGCATACGCCATGAGATGGATTCCACCATTGCTCAACTAGGCCAACACCGGTTCTACTTCTGAGTTCCTCTTTCTCTCTTTCATCCAAGAACGCAGCTGCTGCCATGCACAATTGATGGTGCTCCGAACAATTTCTTTGGGTCTCCGATTGCATCATTGGAACCAGAGGATTTGACTCTGTCAGTCTCTCCCACAAATGCAGCTTGATGCTAAGCTCTTCTCTCTGCCGAGACTTCAAGCAGATGTTGCACACTATGCTCAGCTTACTCACATGCCTATAGTTGGGAATCAAGAAATTCTTTTGTCATTATCATTTACACTTTTGGAGACACACCCAAGTGAATAAATGAAAAATCTCTCATGCAAAATACGCCAATGAAGTAATTCGGAGACAAGCTAACAATAACCACTTTATATCATGCATGTCTGATGAACCAATCATGCAAGCAAGCAACCAAAAAAAAAGGGCGAGATCGGTCGCTACGGTTCATGCGACCGGTCGCTTTACAATCTGCTTCAATACAACTGGTCATCACTATTCATGCGACCGGTCGCGTTCTGTTCGCCAGATGATAAACATGTGACAAACATGTGATAAATAGGTGATACAGTGATGATAAACAGGTGATACATAGGTGATAGAAGGGTAATAGAAATGGCTGCTAAGGTGATAAGAAAGGAGATACAAATGGCTATTTATATTTGCTAAGATCGCTGCCAGCTGCACATCCTTGGACCGGCTGCACTTACTTGCTGCCGGCTGCACATTCTTGGGTCGGCTGCACTTACTTGCTGCCGGCTGCACATCCTTGGTCCGGCTGTACATCCTTGCTGCCGGCTGCACATCCTTGGACCGGCTGCACTTACTTGCTGCCGGCTGCACATCCAGGCTATATCATGTCAAACAAAGCTACAATCTTCCATTACCACTTCCAGCACCCGCCTATTTTAAACATTCTTCAAGCACCTGCCTATTTTAAACATCCTTATGAGCTTCATAACCTCCACAGCCTCCACAATTTCTACCACAGAGTGTTCTGGTGATACAAACCCAAGCAAAACTCAAACCATCCTTACAACATCCCAACAAGCTCATTACATCTCTAAAAACATTCAAGGCAACCTCAACAACCATCTCGTCCTCTGTCTCAAACACCGGAAGATTTACAACATGCCTTGCCCACATTAAAATGCAAGGCTTCTGGGTATCAAGAAACTAAAAGTTGTCTCACCCCAAAGTCTCCCTTGGTCAAGCAGTTCAAATCCTTCATAATTTTCCCAGACAAGTTGCAAGCAACCAAAACTCACTTTCATGCTACCAAACTCCAAGCGAATGAGACTTCTCATGCTTTCTTCTGGACAAGAGAATACGTTAGCCAAAATCAGGCGCCGAAAAAAAAAATACTCATAAACAAAGGGAGGCGCCGGAAGCATAAATTTTCCCAGTCAAGCCAAGGTGCTAGCAACCAACATTCACCTTCATGCTATCAAGTTCATAGCAAATTCACATGGCATAATACCAATCCGCATGCCAAGCAATTACATTTCATTGAGATATTCCAAACAATTGATGCCTTTCGAGCAAATTGAAGAATTCATGCTCTTGCAACAATACCATTCAACTTCACGCTGTCACAACAATATTGCTCAAAATCATACTTCAGAAATATCCAGATCAGCACTCAATGCCAGGATAAAGGAGGTGCTCAATTCTCAAAATTCAAAGCAACATGTCAAGCGAGACAGATACATAAGGTCATTCGGTGGGAAGAATTCCTTATTGAGAACTAGAAAAGCCCAAATACCCAAATTTCTGAAGTAGTAGTGGTTGTTTGTTAAGCTCCACGAGTTTCCAGCACCTACAAGCCCTCTAGCTGTAAGAAAAGCATTTCAAGCAGTGTTATAAGCATTTCCAACAACTATCAACAATAAACATGCAATTTACTCACGAAAAGGCTAAATCATGCACATATGGCTGGACATAAATGACCCAACCATGACAAATTCAAAGCAGCCATGCAGACAAACTATGCAGGCCAACTATCAGGATTATTCATATACGACCAAGACATGCCATTTCATCATATTTATTCACCACTATTCAAGCTGTTGTAGTGCCAAGGCAATCAAAGAAGGAGGTCCTCCCCATTTTGAAGCAAGCTCCTGGAGAAAGGATTAATAAAAAACACATAGCAGCAAGCAAGCAAGCAAAACAAATGCAATCAGCCCATCAAAGAGAAAAGAGACAAGCCTGCAGAGCAACTTCTTCAAATTCCAAAATTTGGAAATTCACATAAAGCAACCAAGCTAAATCCTACAAGGGCGTAGGAGAGCAAATTAATGAATGAGGCCAATACTCAATACAAAAACATGCCAAACTTGTACACAAGCTTTCCAACCATTCTAGCCAGAACATCCAAACTTTGGAAAATCACTAGAAATCAAGCTTACAACCAAAAATCCCAAACTTTCCAAATCAAAACTAGACACATCAAGCTTCATTTCCCCAAAAAATTTCGTTGCATCTGGAGCTAGGAAAGCATGCCAAACAGATTCCCAAAACAGGCCATGCAGCAGAAACTGCACCATTTCAGCAGCTTAGTCCTTACTTTGAAATTGCACCAAATATTCATTTTTGCTTCAAATGACACAAGACCAGTTCCAGCACTACCATCAAGAAGCCTATTTTCAGATGTCAAAAGCATCAGTTCAGATTCACATATAGAAATTTCGAAGGCACAGAGAACAACCCGCAGGCTACTTTCACACATTTTTACAAACACTTGGCATGCATTACCCAAGTGAGCTTGTATGAGCTTTATTTATCACCAAGCTAAAATCCTAAATCAGAATCTCAAACTGAGAGTTCATTGCCTAAGCCACAAGTCTTGAGAGTATGAAGTAATTCAAGTTTCAAGAATGGAAAACAAGCATGCAATAAAGGCAGCGACATCAATTCATGAACATACTTCAAGAAAATGAAGGCAGAGGGCACTACAATGGTTGGATGATCTTCAATTTTGGATATGTTATAAACAACACAATTTCGACCAAATTTCGTGAAGCAAGCACAATCATCCAAGCATCGGATATTAAAATCAAGTGCAGAAACTTAATCTGCCGAAACTCACCAGCCATTGATGAACACAGAAGCTGCAAACCCGTTTTGAGGCATCAGGAAAATTCAGAAAATTCTCAAAATTTCACAGACTTTAGTTCTCAAGCAGATGAACAACTCTCATGAAGGAAGTTTTCTGATCAGAGCTTCCGAAAACTGACTTCCGGATTGCTGAACAGTACCCACGGGTTTGGTTCTTGAAGAAGAAGAAGAAGAAGAAGAAGAAGCAAAAGGAGAAGGAGAGGAAATCAGAAAATAAAGCATGTGCCAAATGAAAGGAAAAGAGAGCACCC